TAAAATGTTTTTAATTGTGTACCAGTTTAATATTGAATATTATTTATGATTTTAACTTTATACACAAGTGCCAAAATATTATAAGTAAGGAAACAACTTATCACAAAAACAAAAATGTATAATATAATTCTCATGAAAATATTGTGTACTTCGTTATAAGATATAAAACATTACTATAAAAATAATAAATTTAACAATTTTAATAAGAAATTATCATTTGTATTCTGAAACTTTTTTGGTCCTAGTAGTGAAATATTGATTGCCACATAATTTATTTTCTGATTAAATTTTTGTGCAATAGATGTCGCTTTTAAATACATACCTGAAGTTGAATATTTACTGAATTGTTGTTTTTCTGTCATTTACAGTACAGTTTTACATTATATATTCTATTAATTAATCTTCTTTTTTTTTCTGTCTCAACTAAAATTTAAAATATGGAGTGTTTCGGCTTAATAATCTTCGGGCTTAACTGAAGATTAATACAAGTTAATTCTTGATTATCAGAGTTGAAATAAAAAATACATAATAGCTCTTATTTCTTCTCAGACTTACGTGACATTAAATTCAAATTAATTCTTTTTTTTCTGAGCTTAAATTAAAAATACTTTTCATTATTTTGTTTCTCGAAGAACTTAGCTGAAATGAAACAAGGTTAGTCTCTTTCTATACGAATGGAAATTTAACGTTTACTTCTTTTGTCTTAAACATTTTCGGACTTAGTTGAAAGTTAACACAGATGAATTATTTTCTGGATGAATTGAAATTTGAAACTTTAATCCTCTTTCGCCTTGGCTGACTTTCAGTACATGTCATTAATTAATCCTTTTCTGGCTAAATAAGATTTTATAAAAAAAATTATCATTTAATTATTCGACGGTATCGTTTAAGTTTTATACACACTGAGTAATTCAGTAATTTTGATTTTCCTTAATATGGCCTCCCGGTGGCTCAGCGGTAAATCTAAAAGATTTATAATACGAAAAATCGAGTTTCGATACCCGTGTTTGACAGAACACATATAGCCCATTGTGTAGCTTAAGGTTTAAAACCAAAGAAAAAAAATCATAACTACTGTTGCCTTATATTTAGTTTATGTTTACTCGATAAAGGAAATGTAGAATTTTTGTGTTTTAATATTGATTCATCAGTTAGATCGTTAATACAGCTCGAAACTGCATGTTTCATCGTTGCGCAATGTTTTAATAATACGTAATTCGCGTTTTTCAGAGCAACTTCAGGAACTCCGCAAGGTCCAACTCTGCAGAGTACTGTGTGATAACGCTGATGAAATGGACACCATTCAACTAGAAGTCTTAAAGACGGCTGATCCACAGAGGTAAACAAGAATTTGGATTTTTGATTTAAAGATGATGTACCAAATTCAATCGACTGAAGTTTATTACTCTACAGTTCTTTTTTCAGATTTGCGGATAAAAGTTGTCATAGAACTAATATCCATATTTTAGTAAATCGTCTTACTTGGAAAAAAAACAACAACAAGAAACGCTAACTTGTTGCTCAACTTTTATTGAAAGGAGAACCACGCCCTCTGTCGTCGCCATTGTGATATTTTCATATGCAATTTATTATTGAAAATCCACGAAGCTCATCTTCGTTAAAGTTACAAATTTTATGTATAGGGGGCTTTCGTATTATTTGTTGTCCCACTCCGTGTTTGCTATTCTATCCATTCATCACAAAGTCATCCTTAATACAATTAGTTTTTGATGCACCTTTGTTCCACTAGTTCTTTGACTGGCCTGACATGGCTTGGTTGTTAGGGCGCTCGACTCGCAATCTGCGGGTTCGAATCCCCGTCACCGAATATGATCGCCCTTTCAATCGTGGGGGCCATATAACGTGACGATCAATTCCACTATTCGTTGGTAAAAAAGAGTAGCCCAATAGTTGGCGGTGGGTGGTGTTGGCTAACTGCCTTCTCTCTATTCTATCACTACTAAATTAGGGACAGCTAAAGCAGATAGCCTTCGAGTAGTTTTGCGCGAAAGTTAAAATAAATCAGCTCTTTGCCGTTAGATACCGTGAATAAATTAACCTAAAATACTTTTTTAATATTTTTTCGGCTCATTATACTAAATTCAACTGAACTAGAAAAGTTTCTTTCTTTAATCTTTTATTTCTGTTAATTTTATAGTACTTTACAAATATAACTTCGCTGGTCGCATGTAATAAAACATACGTATGCTGTTAACTATAGTTAGTGTCGCAAACATTTAAGCAACAAATTAAATATTACTTATGATTTTAGTCATGCAACCAAATACGCTGATCTTTATTAAAAGGTTGAAAACGGAATAAGTGTTTTACGTCATCTTCGTAAAATATTACCTGTTTTTTAGCCACACATAATTAAAATAAACGTTTTAATTTACAGAGGGCTATGACTACCTTTTTCGAGATGATACAAAATGGTGCTCAATATTTTACGTTTCGGTCCTCTTACTAGAGCTTTCATCTGGTAACAATGTGTACAATTGTTAGTGTTATCCGATGAAGGCTCCAGTAAGAGGGCCGAAAGCTCGCAAATAAAAGAATTTTAATTTAGAGAAAAGTCCGTGTTTAATTTTACGTGTTTATTGTTTCCAGGAATCCACGTGTAAACTGTCGGGGTAATAATATAAACCACCTAGATCTTTCCAAATGGGCTGATGTTAACCACTTCAGCAGGAAGTAAGCTGCTCTTATGAGAAGAAGAAGATACAGTATTAATTTATATTTTAAAAATACATGCAGTTCAATGTCTTGGATAATTTACTGCCAGCATAAACTGTTTCCAACAAATTTTCTCAGCACAAAACAAAACATGAACATTGTGTTAACAAAAATAGTGTTAGGGTTAGGTAAGTACAAAATGTATTACTAATTCTCACCACCACACAGGAATGTTGAATTCTGCATTTATAAGTATTTTAAAAAAAGTAGTGTTAGGGTTACCTAAATACTGAATGTATTACCTACTCTATAACTACTAGACTAGAATGTTGAATAACCTAGTGAATTTAACATTAATACGGAAATATCAGATCGCGCCATTTATACGTTTATTGATATATTTATTATATTTTTTTAAAAAAGTGCAGAAGGAAATAGGAATTTGATTTGTTTTTTAGATAATAGTATATAAGCACAGTTTAATACACGTCTAAAAATCAGTCACGAAGTCGTTCCTTTTTATTTGAATTTATTTTACAGAAGATTAGGAAGCAGCCCTCTATTAACGATTTAACTAATTAATGCGATTTTAATAAAGTTTTAAATTTCCGAGGATTATCTTTAAAATAATAGTATCATAAGCGTGTTTTAGCGCTTCTGTTCACTAGACAAAACAAAGTAAATTAGAATGTAGGTTTCTGAGCTGTGACTGCCTATTGAAGAAAAGGGACGACTATTTAGCTTCTATACCGAGGCCTTTGAATTCGATTTTTGGACGATGTATTATATTATTTTTGCTTAAGGACCGTTAGTTCATGTTGTACTATAGTTAATTTCACATACAGGTTAAGATATTTAATTTTAATGTATGTAATATTTCTTTTTATGTTATTCATATATAGGCGAAGGGAAATCAGCCGTGGTTCTAATAGTAATTTTAAGGCTTCCATACACTACATGTTCGTGTTTTACAATCTAGATTTAAGGAAGTATTTAAATGTCACATTTTGTGGAGAGTTATATCCCTTGATACTCATAGGATTGCCGTGGTCAGGTTTCACACCCTCCTTCGAAACCATAACTTAATATTAGCATGTATTCACCTCTATAACTGCATGTCGTAATATAAAAGTTACACCAATCTATTGAAAGAAAATGACTCAATAGCTCTTAGTTCTTTTTTTTTTAAGATACGTTTGGTTGCAAAGTTCTTCTATATCGAATTATTTCTGATAATATAAAAACTGAAAAAAAAAACTCCTATGTAAGAAAATATTCTGTTTTCTATTTCATGTCCTGACTTGTCTGTAGCTTTTGAGTGTTACGTTACTTATTACGTTTCCAGACGTGTTGAAAAAAATCATATTACAATCATTAGGTGACCCAATTCAGCACCATATTTTTACATGATAACTTCTAAGTACAGAAACTTGGTTAACTATAAAGTTACGATTATCAAGTACTTGATCAGGTAGTTGAAAGTGTGAACCTTGCATGTGTGTGTTTGTCTATACATATACCGCCCACGGATATTTACTACATCGTCAGCGTCTTGAAACCACTTTATCCATAGCTTTGTATTTCTAAAGTGTAACAGATATCATTCTGTATGAAGAACCATATTCAGAAAGTCATTACCAAGTCGTCAGTTCATCAGGAAGTTATGGAAATGCATTCAATCTGTGGTTGCGGGTTGAGTCTGTGTATTTTTCTTCAATGAATTATATGGTTTTTAATTAAAGTCTGGAAATATTTTTCCTTTGCATTCTTTTTTAAACTTGTATATATATACATATATCTGGTATTATATCAGAATCACTCCATAGATGTCGTTGTTGTTTTTTTTTTTTGCCCGTAGAATTTTGTCAAAGAGAACTAACTATAAATAATTTGTTTACAATTTCTTTCTGCGATTTTATTAAACTGAAAGTAATAAAAGACCAACCGAACGATATTTTTTTTTAACTTATTAGTCTAAGTACCAAACTGAATGTTTGGGCTATTCACTTTGAATAATATTTGAATAGTAACTAGATTTTTGAAATTTTGGACAAGCTATACAGCATCGTCATAAGGAATTTCTAGTGCATGACAGAAACGTTTTTCTTAATTTCGTTCCCAAGTGAAAAGTCACATAGAATTCATTTTTCACAATAACACAGGCCTGCGATGGTTTTATTGTCTTGAACTTTTTTACATGTTCTACGGTAATTCCTGTACGCTGAATCCGAAAAATATATCCATTTTTCTCCATTACGTACAGATTTTTCACAAAACGTCATATGTACTTTTACATAAGTGAATAGTTTTCATTGAAATTGGATCACATTTTGTTATGTTTAAAATGCTGACAACTACTGGCTATAAATTTCTCTGGACCAATCGCGACGTGAGTCTTATCGATCGTTCTTGAACCCAAACATAACAATCTTCATTGTGGTAAACGAAATAATTTTGTAAAAAATCTTTACGTGATACAAAAAACAAAACAAAAAAAGAATATTATTTTCGAAATCTGCGTAGCTGAATTATGGAAAATCCGTTATTAAAACAACTTTTATGAAGTTTAAATTCACAGGCCTCTGTAGTCATTTTGTATTATTACTAATATTTATTTTATTTCACAAACTCGCATTGAATATTTTGAGCTTTATACCTGAAAACATAGTTATTAGGTTCGTTTTAAAATCCATCTTAAATATATTACGTCCGCTTTTATATACATATATAAACTATCGTTAATTTAAAAAAATAATTACTTATTACATTAAAGTTTTAAAAAACCAATTGGTGCTTTCAAGTCTACACTATTTGTATACGATATCGAATATAATGTTCATGTTTCCTTTCGAAATGTTTAAAAAAAATTAATTTGTTGGTTTATTTTTGACTATGTTATTATATAACATCATAATCAGTACCGGCTTCTAAAAGCTATTAAATTTTAACTGTTCAATAAAAAAAGAAAGGAGAAACAAGCAGACTTATGGACACTTGCAGATACAACGATACTGTTCAAACGCAAAGCTGTACAATGAACTATCTGCACTGTGCCCATCACAGGGATCGAGCCCCGGATTAGAGCATTATAAGTCACGAGGCTTACCGCATAGACATACCCGATGAAGGTAAATGGAAAAGAATCAAAACAACGTCCGATAACAAGTTCACCAAACAGGTGTCCCACTTTAAGAAATCTCGTCCGTATGTACTTCGAAAAACTTTACTTTCAGTAACGCTAAATAGACGGAAATAACTGTCTTGTTTACAGTGATGAAGTGATCGTATATTTTCGTTTAATAGTCTGGTGAAACTATTATCACGTTTCACCAAATTGTGGGATGACATGTTAAGAACTTGAAACTGGATCTAGATTATAAAAACTAAGCAGTTTGACAACTCAGGTGTCATTAATCCAAGTTTGTTCTTGGCCAATGTCCTGTAGGTGGACAACGGTGAACCTTCTCACTTGTTCGGACAAGCTTTGGTGGTTGAAGTAACACTGGTTCATTTATTCTGGATTGTTAGGATAACTCTAGAAACTGACATTGTTTGATTTGCTACGTTTCAAAAAATCGTGAAGAAGCCAGCTTTGTTTACAGTTCCGTCATCATTACAATGGTATCTTATTTTATGAAAGCTCCATCAGAATTGTCGACAACAACGTCATGAATCATCATCTGTTTAAACAGACAGACAGAGGTGAATGTTTTAGGCGTTTTTACGTGACCATTCTTAAAAACTCCCATAGTGTCCAATCAGTAACGAGCAACAAAATAAACATTTGCATCTTAATTATAAACATTTACTAAATTCGCATCTGCTGATGAAGTCCAAAAATAAAAATGGACACATTACAAACAAATTAAAAAAACGTTATGTTAGAGTTAGTATGACCTGTGAAAGCAATGGTCTATTTCACACAAGTCCGGCGTGAAAGGAAGAGATGACCTGTCAGAGAGGTTGGTGACACTCGCTTTAAAAAATCAGTAGAAATTAAAGATTTAAAAAATCCGAAACGTGACAAACGACACTCAAAACTGTCGTTAATAACGTGACAATGACATCTGTTATGAATTCGGTGGGATGTTAAATCATAAAAACCGAGATTGACGAAACACTACTTAATCAGCAGTTGTTAAAAAGTTTGATTTAATATTAATTCCTGTTTATGTCCTCTATTGTCAGACACACCTGACTTCTCAGTGCTGAAACACTACTTAATCAGCAGTTGTTAAAAAGTTAATATTAATTCCTGTTTATGTCCTCTATTGTCAGACACACCTGATTTCTCAGTGTTTTATTTTAACAATTTTCACTGAACCCTTTACATCATATTCTTAATAAAGTCCGGAAATATGCAATGTTTAATTCAACGGGCAGGAAGAGGTGAACTTAATAAAGTCCGGAAATATGCAATGTTTAATTCAACGGCCAGGAAGAGGTGAACTTAATAAAGTCCGGAAATATGCAATGTTTAATTCAACGGGCAGGAAGAGGTGAACTTAATAAAGTCCGGAAATATGCAATGTTTAATTCAACGGGCAGGAAGAGGTGAACTTAATAAAGTCCGGAAATATGCAATGTTTAATTCAACGGCCAGGAAGAGGTGAAGACCAAATGAATAGAAGATACAGAAAGTTTTGCATTGTACAAAAACTCTCTCAGAAACTTCCTCCACAAGGCATATCTACACAAAAACTCTCTCAGAAATCTCCTCCACAATGCATGCCTACACAAAATCCCTTAGAAAACTCTTTCACAAGACATATCTACATAAAATCTCTCAGAAGACTACTCCACAAGGCATATCTACACAATCTTTCTCTTACAAGTCTTTTCCAAAATGAACAAGTACACAATCTATTTTAGAATCTACTCCAAAAGGCATATCTACACAAAATCCCTTAGAAGACTACTCTAAAATGCATATCTACACAAAATCCCTTAGAAGACTATTCCACAAGACATATCTACACAAAATCTATCTCAGAAACCTCCTCCACAAGGCATGTCTACACAAAAACTATTTCAGAAACCTCCTCCACAAAATCTA